GCAGATCCAAATCCCGCCTCCCAATGTCTCTAACCGGCGATTTTGATTCTCAGAGTCGTAACTCTCTCTCCGGTGCTCAAAATTCGATGGTTCAACTATCGTTGGATTCCTCTCGTCGAGCTCTTTCTTTTGATGGATATTTCGTTCAGTTTAGAATGCTACATCTATTTCTGCAATTTTTTTTTAGCCGGCATATTTCGGCAACGGTGGTCTTACCAGAAGTGTAATTTGTTTTTCGTCAGTCGGAATTTAAAGGGCTACTCACCGTTGGATTCCTCTCGTCGTGATCTATATTTTGATGTCAATTTCATTCATTTTTATATTTTCAGATTTATTTCTATATTTTTATATTTTATTTTATTTTTATATTTTATTTTTATATTTTCAGATTTATTTCTCTCGATCTCTTAGTGTTTGTTGTTTTTTGAGAATGTTTCTTTATTTTTTGTTCATTTGCACTAAAATAATTTTTTTGTTTTGATTTTTCAATTGCAGCTTAATGAAGACCATTGATCATTTCATTGAAGATGTTAAAATTTTTGTTTGAAGTCACATCTACTTTGTTCAATAGACTGTAACATGTAGTTGCACATGCATATATTTGTATTTTATTGGTTATGAGGTGATTTATAATATAAATATTAAAATTTATAAATTTTTGTTGTTGGGATTTATGAATTTCTTTTCTATAAGTCAATATTCGTGTGTGTATATAATTGATCGACTCAAAATATGGGGGAAAAAAAGAACATAACTACGCATTACTATAGTTACTACAGTTACATGTAGTTATTTTTAATACAGTATATATATATATATATATATATATATATATATATATATATATATATATATATATATATATATATATATATATATATTTATCAAACATGTTTATTAAAAAATAAATAATTCAGCGAAAATAATAAATGCAAGACCAGAAATGTTGAATGCAGTTTGGCCGAAAGTTGCATATAAGGGTAGTATAGTATTTTCGCTTCTCCAGGGGTATGTCAAAGATGATTTGAGCTTGAGTTTATATATTAACGTTATAAATTAATAATAAATATGTACTTGCTAGCTAATACATACCTTACAATGAACATATACATTTCAATTTGTCAAATATATACTTCAAAAATTGATTACACATTTTTGATAATAGAGACTATGTAACGATATAACCAGTTCTTGGACGGTACAGCTAAGGGTTTTGATAGGAATCATTACAAAAATTAAATGAAATATGGGTAGCACGTACAAATTATATAGTGTATAAGTTCGTGTCTGCATGTGCGCTTTGGTCCGTGTTTATGCGTGTGTTTTGTATATGTGTTGAGGCTCAAGCCAATAAAGTCAATTTAACTTACATAATTTAAGTGGCTGAGCCAGTATAGGATCAGGGGGCCACAGCCCCCAACACTTCTCAAATATCTATTAATTTATATAAAATTATATTAAAAAATCTTATATAATAGCATTGACGGTCCCCTCAATTTTTTTTAATACATTCAGTGTTCCTGGACTTAATTCAAATCTTGGCTCCACTAATACATATATGAGAGGGCTCGGACAATAATTAAGTAATTAAGTTTAATTTGCTCAAAATATTGACTTTAAGTTGTCGCAAATAACTTATATATCTAGTTTTGTTTACCTCTCTCATACGATTCGAAAGCTATTGCATTGAAATTTACCCAATGCATTGTATCGTTAACTGTAGGTTAGTTCTCCGCAAAAGTTTGATTTAATGCTCTCCCATAATGTGTCCTCGAGTCTTTTTTTTAAGAGTATAGTGTTAGAATGACATGAATACCACAATTCATCAAAAGTCGCGAGGAAATAGTTTTTGGGTAAATTACACACATCCCTGAGGTATGCTTAAATAATTTTAAGGTCCATGTGGTATCGATAACGGGATAATGCATTGAATACATTATTCCGATAGAGTTCTAATGAACTATTACTTTTAGCTAGTGGTGGAGATAACATAGAGTTATGGAGAGTTATGGGGTGACATGACTCCCCTAGTATGTCTTAAATCACCCATAACTCTTTGTTGTCTCCACTACTTCCTGAAACCAATAGACCGTTAGAACTCTATCGTAATAACATATCCAATGCATTATCCCATTGGAGTTTATAACTACGTTTTAAAGGTAAATGTAATTATCAATCCCACAGGGATCTTAAAATAATTTAAGCATACATAATAATTATCTAAGCATATACCTGATGCGGTTGTAATTTACCCATAGTTTTTTATAGTTTTTTTCCTTCTTTACGGCTAATTTTATATGTCGCTACAGTTCATCTTGACTTTGGAATTGGTTATTGGAAGTCAACTTACGATTTGATCAAAAGTCGACTTTCAAGACTCCATCAATTTGCTGTATTGACAATTTTTTTTTATTTTAATAGTATAATGAAAGAATTTGTAGTTAAATTTAGGGTAAATTAAACCTACACAGGCTGATATATGATAAAATAACTTTAAGGTTCTTGTAGTACTGCTAATTATAATTATCCCCGAAACATTATTAGAGACTCTAATAGAATAATGTATTGGAATAGTTATTTTGTTAGGGTTCTAACGATCTATTAATTTTAGGCAGTGATGGTGACAATATAGAGTTAGATGGTGACATAGTTCTCCTAATGTTTCTGAAATCCTTGATATTTTATATAACATTTATAAAACTTCAAAGCATTATTTATGATGCCCATGCCGCCTGCTGGAAGTTTATTTCTTAAAAGAAAGAAATTATAAAACAACACCTGATCATTTTTCTTTTTTCTTTTTTTAATCTTTTGTTACAAGACTAGTCAATTTGAATATTTTTTTTATAGTATTTAATGTGTTTCCTAACAAATATGAGATCAAATGTATATATATAAATTGACATTATATTGGAACTGGTAATCGGATGTCAACTTGCACGTTATGTGAACAATGGTCAACGATGAAGACTCCATCAATTTGCTGACATGGATTAAGGACGTGATAAATGATAAGGTTAGTAAAATGGTGTCGAAGCCTTTTTCAGACTGGGATTAGGTTACACTAATACTGTTTAAACAAAATTAAATAAATAAAAATAATAATAAGAGAGAGAGAGACGCGAACAGTAATACCGGTCGCGCCTCATGGGATGAAAGAAGGGGTTATTTGACAAAACTCCGTGATTTTGAATTTCCGTAGAGTGATAAATCTAAATTCAAATCCTATATTTGAGATAATCCTTGGATTGCAAAATACCTAAATTACCCTAATATAGTTCCTTTTTTTAATTTCTATTTTATTTTTATATTTAGGTTTTTTTTCTTATTTAATTTTTTTCACTTTTTTTATTTTATATTTTTTTATAAAAGAATTTTATATTAATTTCGTCTTTAAAACATAAATTTGTTTTTTTAGGAGTAATATGGCAGGAGCCCCTCAATGGAAACCTAATTTGAACTAAATGACAAGTCCAAATCCAATCTCTTAATTATTTTTTTTTTATTTTTTTTTTCTCTTCCATGTTCTCTAACTCTCCATCTCTCCCTCACGGTTCTTAAATTTCATATTTATTTTTCTTTATGTTTATTCTCTCTCTCTCTCAACCTTCTATCTCTATCTCGTTTTCTCCTGTAACAGCACGAACGCCGGCGGCGGCAGTGGCGGTACCACTAAGGGGCCGGGGGGATTGACCCCCAAGAAAAAAAAAATTTAGCTATTTTGACCTTATATTTTTTGGAAAATTTTTTTTGGCCCCCCCCCCCCCCCCCCCCCCCAAAAAAAAAGATTTTGTAAATATGTGTTTTAACCCTTAAATTTTTGTTTATTCTCCATAATTTTATATAAATTATAGATATATATCATATTATAGATATGTGCCGTAATTTTTTTTCGCAGTATAAACCTAATTCCCGAACCCCGGAATTTTAGTTTGCCCCCCCTACTTTCTAATCCTGGTTCCGCCCCTGGGCGGCGGAGAGAGCAGGAGCGGGAGACGTCGGCGACGGATGGAGTCGTGGTGCAAGTGGCGGCAGAGGGGTTGTACAGTGCGGGTGTGGTTATGTCTGTGAAACCATATTTTCAACTAATTGAATTTGAGTTTCTTATTTCTTGTAAGAGATGTTGTTTGATTTGGATTAAGATGGCAGATCTAGATTTTTTCAAAGATGGTAGGTGAGTATGGTTGCGGCGACTGCGACTAGGGTTTGGCAGCTGCTGCAACTAGGATTTTCGTTAAGACCTTAGGAGCCCAACTTTCTATAATTTTGAATTAATGCAATTTTCGAAATCCCGCCGATTCTTAAGTATTCTGGAATCGGAATGTATTTTAAAATTCCAATTTCTTTGGAACGGAAATTGGAACGCATTTCTTACTTCCGAAAAAATGAAAAAATTCCGAAGAAATCATTGCCGAGACACACGTCCGATTTTCACCCCTAACCAAAACAAAAAATTCAGCAACTAGAGTCATATATGCCATCCCTCGAGGGGCTTGGCTTATATTCAAATTAATTATTTATTTAATATTTTTAATATTTTTTTTTATAATGAAGGAACATGCATCCAATTATATAGGTGGCGTTGGGTAAACCTGCTCTCTCGTATATTTTTTATTTCGATAACATGGCAAACCGTACCACGGTTCCAGTATTGAAAGTAAGTTAATTAACTATAGACCAAATGTTAAGCATAAAAGCGTTAAAAATTGAAGTTTTAAATTTACTCATCAATACTTTGTTGTAAGATAAATTTAGACGAAACTCGAAAATCCTGATAAAGTCATCCGACAGCATATTACGATAATCATTTAAATTTTCCATTACATATATTTAAGAAATAAGAAATCAAATGAAACAACAAATCGTCATCACGTTTTATTTCTTGTAACCACACAACGGTACTGAAAAAAGAAAAAACCCTTAAACGATATTGCAGTGTGAAATAAAACAACATGAAATTTTACATCAAAAGAAAAATAAATAATCATAAATAAAGAAGATCAAATAAGTCCCCATGCGGCTATTCTGCCTTTTGCATTGAACAAAGCCTCAATAGCAGCGGCGTTGACCGCATCAGCAGCTTCCGAGATCCGTACCACGTCACTTTTTGCACCACCGCCGCTACTGCTGCCGCCGGCGCTCACACAGTCCAGATGGGTCCCGAAATCGCACTTACGACAATAGTACACCCACGCCATCTCGTCTATCAGGCTCATACAAACATCGCACGTGAAAGTCACCTCCCGATTCGCCGCTGCCCGCGACGAGTAGTACAGAGTTAGCGTGTGCTTGTGGCCCGGACACACCATCTTCTCCGGCCTTTGGGCGCAGTTTATGTGTAGACGAACGTTCGAGCACGTGGTGCATGTGTAGACGAACGCCTTGCCCTCCTTCATGCACGCGTCGCACGTGAAGTACCCCTCGCCGTACGGCAGCAAGGTAAGCGGGTGCTCGGGGTGGGACTTGTGGCGGAGCTTGAGGGGCGCGTCGAAGCACGTTTTGTGCAGGTTGAAATTGCACTGGGACTCGGTGCAGCAGTAGGCGGCGCCGTTCAATTCTATCTCACAAGCGGAGCAGACTTTGGCGTTCTTCTTTTTGATCTCCATGCCCTTGAGCCCGTGTGGGTGGCTGAAATGCTTGATCAAGTTCGGTGCAAGTTTCGGTGGCGGCGGATTACCGGCGGGATTTGACGGAGGAACGTAATTGTACGAGGGGCCAATATTTGGTTGGGGGTAAGCAGGAATTGAATTATTGTTCTGATTGGGTGGATCTTTTGGAATTGGAGTTGGTGGTGTAATGTGATTAGGAGTGGTGAAATTGGGATAAGGGTGGTTTGGATTCGGGTAATAACCAGTGTTTTGAGGAGGATAAGTTGGATAAGCATTAGATTGGATTGGACGAGGAGGATTGACGGGATTATTATTCTGCGCAGGATAAGGATTAGGAACAACGGAAGGTAATAAATTTGGATTAGGATTAGGAATAGTAATATTAAGGGCACAATGAACATGAATATCGAATTCACATTCGGAGCAGCTGTAGGAGAATCCATGTCCAGCAAGACTGCACGAATTGCAGTGAAAAGAACGGGAGGTATAAGTAGGAGAAGGCATCAAAGTCAGAATATGAAGTGGGTGAGACGGGTGCTTGAGAGACCTTTCTGAACGAAAACAGTGTTCGTGAAGGAAGTAATTGCACTGCCAGCAAACATAGACGTTGCCTGAGCCGGCAGATTTGCAGCCGGAGCAATGAAATTCATATCCTTGAATAGCCTGGTGGTAAACCAGGCCGTGATTGTGGCTGAAATGCATGAACTCCATTTCTACTCCTCTCATGGTTTTTCGGGTTCAAGATGAATGTGTTTTGTTGGGGATCAAAATTTTATTTATACTAGTTAAAATTTTGTTTTTTAATTATTATTAGTTTTTTGTCAAACAATGTTAAGCAAATTGGATATAAAGTATGTGAATGCCAACTAGTTACTAGATTAATTCTTCACAAGATGGGAGTTGAATCAGTCATCTCTCTAGGCCATGTATTAGCATTGACTTTAGAAATTACTTTTAGTTATTCAATCCTAATCCACTATTCAACCAACAAACGAATTATACCCAACTCCGATAAGGGTGAGAATTAAGTTAATAAGTATTGTGAATACGAGATCCAACACCCAAGGACGAGGATGGTGGTGGTCTTGAGTTTGTCGGCGGCGAGAGGATTCCTCGGGTGCTGTGGCGTAAGAGAGTGAGAGAAAGACTTGAGATATGAAGATGAAGATCATAATTGAGAAATAAAAATTAAATTTGTGGAAATATCAGTGTTACGTAAAACGTGAGATAATTAAGGAACATATAAAGAGTATTATTTAATTCTTAATTATATGTCTAATTACAAATTAAGAGTACCTAATTTTTTTCTATTAGTTAAATGCGTTTTGGATTTTGCTTAAAATTTAAATTAGGGATGGCAATGGGGCGGGTTTTGCAATCCCCATCCCTGCCCCGCTATGGAAATCTCCATCCCTATTCCCGTCAAAAATCCCCACGGGTTTTAAAAGAATCCTCATACCCGCCCCATAAAATCCCCACGGGTATCGGGGCGGGTAAAGATCCCCGTCTATTTTTTTTTCTTTTTTTTTAATAAATAAATATGCAATTTACTTATAATTTAAAGGTTTATTTCAACAAATAAATTAATATTTAATTATAATCCTAATATTTAATTATATAATCGAAACCTAAAAATCCCTATTTTTAACTAAGATTTAATATAGGGTAAATAGCATTAAACCACCTAAACTTTTTACGTTTTTGTGGATCACCACCTGAACAATTTTTTTTTGCAAGAGTTGACCTGTACTCAATTAATTGTGCCACTTTGCCGTTTTTTGCCCGTTTTCAGGTCATAACTGTTCTGGACACACGCGCGTTGCACATGCGAAATCCAAGGGTATTGTTGGCTTTTTCATTTTTAAAATTGAATAAATGTTAATTATTTATTTATTTTATTTTATGTTTCTTTTTTGAAATGAAATTTTCTTAAATAGAATAAGTAAAAAAAGAAAAAGAAAAAGAAAAACGTCATCTTGTTCCCAGCAACTCAGCCCTGTATTTTGAACTCATGGCCCAAAAAATCCGAACAAACCACCGACATAATTACTTTCTCGCCTCTGCAATTCCAAGGATGACCACTGCCGTCGCACCAATCTCACCACCCACCGCCCACCGGCGCACACCCGATCTCACGGCCGAGCACCGCTCACCGCCGCCGTGGCATGGGGCGGCCTCAATTGTGAGAAGATCCTATAATCCTCCATTCGTTGGAAGAAGATCTAGTCGTTCGGAGGAAGAAATCGAGAGAAAATAGTGTTCATATAACTTGAATTGGGGAAAGGGGGGAATTAAATGAACATTTTGGACCTAATTTTAGGTCCAATTTCAGTCATGATGACGGCGGATCTGAAGAAGATGTGGTGGTGGTGGTGAGCTTGGTGGTTGTGCAAGAGGCTGGTTACTCGGGGTGAGTGGCTGCAACATGAGAGAAATGGTTGATGAAAATTGTGAGTTAGATGAGTAGGGTGGGGGGGTTGGATATGGTCTGCCGCCGCCAACGCCGTTGGCCTTGATGAGTTCATCCATGTGAAATTACGGCTGATTGCCGGCGGGTAAACGGCGGCGTTTTTCTTGTTGTTGGTCTGATGATGGTGATGATTAGGGAAAAATAAAGTAGCAGCAGTACAGTATATGTGGTGTTGTGGTGGATCTTCTTCTGGGATTGGGAACAAGACGAAGACCCTTTTGTTTTTTTTTTTTGTTTTAATAATTATTCTATTTTACATTTATTCAATTTTAAAAATGAAAAAGCCAACAATACCCTTGGATTTCGCATGTGCAACGCGCGTGTGTCCAGAACAGGTCATTATGACCTGAAAACGGGCAAAAAACGGCAAAGTGGCACAATTAATTGAGTACAGGTCAACTCTTGCAAAAAAAAATTGTTCAGGTGGTGATCCGCAAAAACGTAAAAAGTTTAGGTGGTTTAATGCTATTTACCCTTTAATATATTACTACTATTTAATTATTTATATTTAATATAATAATTAAATAATATATATTATATATATAAATAATGCGGGGCGGGTATGGGTACGGGTACGTGGCGGTAGACACGGCCACGGGCTGGTTTTGGGCCCGGAACCGGCCCGAACCGGCCCGTTGACGGCCCAAACCGGCCCGTTAACCGTGTGAACCGGCCCGGAACCGTGAACTGGCCCGTCCTACCCGGGACGGGCCCGGTTCTTAGATTTGGTGAACCGTGAACCACCGGGCCGGCCCGGCGGTTCACCGCGATTTAAAAATAAAAAAAAAATTCAAAAAAAAAAAAAGCAAATAACGGCTAGTGAACCGGCCGTTATTTATTTTTTTTTTGAATTTTTTTGAATTTTTTTCCCCCCCAATTTTTCCTTTAAATACCCTCACACCCCAATTTTGCTTTTTTTTGAATTTTTTTTGCCCCCAATTTTTCCTATAGATACCCTCACACCCCAACTTTTCCTATAATTTACTTATTCATCAAATATTTCAAACTTGTGCTTCTAAATTGACTTTTCATTTATTTCCTTTTCCTTTATCTATTTAAAAATACTTCTTTTAATTTACTTATTCATCAAATATTTCAAAAAAAAAAACAAAAAAAAAAAACAAAAAAAAAAATTCAAAATTTCCGGGCCGACCCGGAACCGGCCCGGATAGGCCCGGAACCAGCCCGAACCGACGGGCCGACCCGGCCCGCTGAACCGTCCATACTACGGGCCGGTTCCTGTTCCGGAAAATGTGAACCGTGAACCGGTTTGAACCGGCCCGAACCGGCCCGGAACCGGCCCGAACCGGCCCGTGGCCGTGTCTACGGGGCGGGTATAGGTAAACCCATCCCCGTACCCGTACCCGGTCAAAAAAAAATTCAATCCCCATACGCGCCCCATTTTTTTTCGGGGCGGGTAATACCCGAAAATTTCGAGACGGGGCAGGGCAGGGATCCGTCGAGGCGGCTCAAATTGCCATTCCTAATTTAAATACTTTTTTGGGCCTATTGTAACAACCATTTCTAATGAAGGGGTTTGACAAATTTATATATATATATATATATATATATATATATATATATATATATATATATATATATATATATATATATATATATATATATAACAGAAGTCAGCATTGGAAATCAGTAATATGAAGTCAGCATCCAGGTGATTTGATCAATTCATCTAAACGACCTGTTAAAGTCAACTTCTGTAACAATATGAGTGAACTTCAAAAAGCAAAAAGTAAACCAGTGTAAGCTAAAACTAGCAGAAATTCTTGTGAAATTTCGTTAAAGGTAAATCCCCATAACGTGAGATCGTGCGGCTCACTCGCCATTTGTGCGGCCGTTATTGTTATTTTTGATGTGAAATAACACAATTGCCCTTGTGCTATATATGATTTCCTCTCTCCTCTTCTCTCTCATCTCTCTTCATTTTCTTCACCCGAAACATGTGAAAATCAATCGATAAAAAATTTGCATATTTACACTACTCCGAATTCTTGTTGCTTCTCTTGTTCGATTTATCTCCACCGGAGTGGTTGGTAGTTGCGGCGCCGCTATCACCGCCCATGAGATTGGGAAGGAAAATCCCTAAATTCCACTTTTTCGATTTGAAATTGCGAGAGGAGATCTTTGTGGGAATAATTACGCTTTTTGTCCTTGTACCTTGCTAGTTATTCAATTTCCGTCCCTAAATAAGATGATGCTACAATTCACATCCCTAAACATGCCACTTTTATGTTGTTTCGGTTCCTCTGTCTATTGTGCAGTTAGCATAGACGGAAAATAGCATGTGCACCACACATAACACATAAAACACACCCCCCATTTATGTACATGTAGGATTTTAAAAGAAATTTCGTAAATACCCAAATTTCTCTTCAAAATCCTAATCCCCAATTTTTGAAATCTCTAAATTTCTTACAAATTAACCATTGAAATCTCTTCAGCAAAACTTGAAAGCACAATTAGAAAGTGCACAATTCAGATTTAAAAGTTTGTTCGACCAAGATAGCTAATTTCAACATCCGTGGCCACATACTAAAAGTAAGTTTCGTTCTCTTTATCTATCCTAAATTTTCAATTTCCACAACAAGAAAAACTACTTTGCCCGAGGAAAATATTCGTCACCCAAGGTCCATATTTCGTATCGTACTTTCTAATTGACTTCCGCACTCTCTAATTGTGCTTTCAAGTTTTGTTGGAGAGATTTCAATGGTGAATTTGTAAGGAATTTAGAGATTTCGAAAATGAAGGATTGGGGTTTCGAAGAGAAATTTGGGTACTTATGAAATTCCTCTTAAAATCCTACATTTACATGAATGGAGAGTGTCATGTGTGGTGCACATGCATGCTATTTTTCATCCATACTAACTGGACAATTGGACGGAGGGAGAAAAACAACATAAAAGGGACATGTTTAGGGACGTAAATTGTAACATCATCTTATTTAGGGATGGAAATTGAATAACTAGCAAAGTATAAGGACAAAAAGCGTAATTATCTCCACAGAGATCTCTTCTCGCAATTTCAATTTTTCCGAAGCATACTCCCACTTATTTTAATTTTTGCGATTGACTTAGATGAAATTTCAAAATTACCAAATAAAAAAAATGAAAAAAAAATCCCAAAAAACAACAAATAAAGAGCAGGGAGATTGGACGGATCACGGGTATGGATACGTTTATGGAAATGAAGAAGCTCTCCTGCACACTCACCACCCTTCGAACTGTGCTTGAAGAGGCTGAAATGAAGCAAATCGAAAGCAAGCACATTCAAAATTGGGATGACTCTGTATTAGCTTATCATGAAACCGAAAGCAAGCGTGCGAAGTTTCAGTTGTGCGAAATGACTATGGATAGGCCAATCGAGGGATTATGGGGTATTTAAGTATTCCTGAAGAAAAAAGAATTGGGTTCATTTGAAGAAGATAGCTTTTCTGCAAGTGTTAAGGACTGAATTGAAAACTTTTAAAAACTTCATTTTGGGGTGATCCGTTCGAAAGAAACACGATCCTGAGTCTTCTTCGCAGAGGTTATGTGCCCTGCAAGAAAGGAAGTCGGACTGACGCCGGAGTTAGCATTTCGACGGTCAAGTCAATAGTGGTTCACGTATAACTTCAAAGGTTTTCTTTTAGACGTGCGTATCTTTTTTAAATATGTAAAAAAACCAGGCTTTTTGGGTGTGCATACGCCTCCTTTTATAGTGTTTGGCTGGCCCATTCCCCCAAGGCCCTAAATTCCGGCCGAGCGGCCATGCGGTGTACTTTACCTGCTTGAGAACGGGCAGCCCGGATCATGATGACCTCTCTGGTGACTAGACTCAAGCGTATCAGGCAGTCCTCTCTCCGACTTTTCCCGGTTTTCCGGCCGAACCTAGTCATTCGGGCATTAAATGCCACTGTTAGAGTATTTAATGCGCCGTTGGGGTACTGTCAGTGCATTTATGTTTTTCTTCCCGCGCTTGCTCGGTCGCTTTGCCTTTAGTGGGTTTTCCGAGCGGCGCTAGTCCCCTCAGACCTCACTCTCCCTTTTTGTCGTTTTATCACAGAATGGGCGTATGTTTTAAGGGCAGAGTTTTTCCTTTTTGGGCCATCCTTATTTAGCCAAACTACTCTTATTATGTTCGGGCCTTCATTAATGGGCCTTCTGTTTTGGGCTTCTTGGTCCCATAATTGGTCCGGATCATGGGGTGAATCTGTAATTTCTGAAATTTTTAATTAAAATGATATTTTTTCTTTACGGAGTCAAAAATAAACACCCAGACGCTATATCGGCGTGTGTAGTACACGATAAGCTTTCAAGATCCTCATTTTATTTTCTTTAAGTCCATCTAATTATTACTTTATCTGAATATAACGAACTTCTCAAGAAACCAAATCAATAAATCAAAACACAAAGCTTTCAAATTTTCCCAAAAAAAATATAAGAACACAAATACCAACAAACCCCGACAAACATGCACGCATTCTTCCACAAGGTCAATAACACAACAACAAAGCAAACCAATTTCGGCACCAAAAAAAGAAAAAAAAAAAATAGAAACATATAAATCAAATGCTCAAACAATCAATCTTTCTTCAAACAAAATGATCGTCAATCCATCGACCGGTACACGCGGAAATTCACCCGATCCTTCCCATGGCATTCATCGAAGCCGCCGAATTCATCATCTGCAGCGTATACATATTCTGCCTTCTCCGATGCAACTCCTCTTCCCTCAGAATCTGTAGAGCATAAGCTTCTTCTTCCTCACTCTCCTGCTTCTGCTTCACGAACGAATCCAGCTGGCTCTTCAGCGCCTTTATCTCCGACAATTTTTGCTTGAAAAACGTCGACGCATACCGATCGCGGTCGTTATTCGGATCGGCATGGAGAAAAGCAGCACAGTTTGCATGGACGTTGAATTCGCAAAGCGTGCAGTTGTACGTGAATCCGTTGCATGGCTCGCTGCATGCATCGCACACAGCGCCTTGGCAGTACGGCGGGTAGAGAAGGCCTACTGTGTGCTTCGGGTGCGAGTCGACGAAGTAGGCGGATTGCGGGTGGTCGAAGCAGAATTTGTGGAGGTAGAAATTGCAGGCTGAGCAACCGTAGCATGTGCCGCCGGATAACGGTAGCTTACAACCGAAACATGGTAGGTTTTTGTTGTGGCTCACCGTTGTCGATACGTCGTGTAATTGATGAGGGTGGCTAAAATGCTGCATCTTTTTTTCTTGGTATGATCTTCTGTGTGTGTGTGTGTGTGTTTTTCTTCTCTGTGTGGTTTTGTGTGGAGCAGGCTTGCTATTTATAGAGGTTACCAAAATTTAATATATATATATATATATATATATATATATATATATATATATATATATATATATATATATATATATATAAAGCTATGTATTTCATTAGTTATTTATTTCATTAGTTGAATTGATCTTGAGTCATATTTATCACTAAAATGAAGGTCAACTTCTTGATATTTCGTGCTGATGCTATCCTTCTAAAGAATGTTGAAAGATGTTTAATTTGTTATTTTATTTATTAAGTTTTACAATTAAATATAGGGCAATTACAGCCACCCCTGAGTATGACTAAATTACGAAAAAAAACCCTCTTGTTTGGGTAATTACAGTCTTCCCATTATTTTAAAAATTTTACATAAAATTTATGTAATTCGGTTATATACCGAACCAAATCGTATATTCAGTTCGGTAAGCGATATGAAATGATGGCGCACCGAGATTTCGCTGCAGTTTTACCGAATTAACATCCATAAATTTACCTTTGGAGGGGTCTTTTTGTAAGATAATACATAGTTGAGGGGCGTGGTTGTAATTACCCAAACAATGGGGGTTTTCGTAATTTGACCATAACTCAGGGGGATGGCTGTAATTTGCCCTTAAATATATGCAAAAAAATGGCTTTGTACAACCTACACTATATAGTTTTAAACCGTAGATCTACACATATTAACACATCCTCCCATGGATATGTCTGTTTAGTGGGTGGTTTTTATACAGATCTACGGTTTAAAACCACATGGTGTATTTTACCAGGTGTAGGATCTCATAAGCCATGCAAAATAAGATTATCCTTTTGTTTTATTTTTAATCTTTTGTTAATTATTTATTTTGGTAAAGCTTTAATTTGCTAGTCTGGCATTATATATATATATATATATATATATATATATATATATATATATATATATATATATATATATATATATATATATATATAATATCATATCCGGATGAATTCGAATAATAACTCACGATTCGAAATATAATTATCGACGGGCATTGTTTTTGGTCTAATACGTTCGTTTCTCTAAGTCGCCGTGAAATTCAAGCATATGTAAATGATATGAATTATAATCAAGCATCATGGTTTGGTGTGAAAATGAACAAAACCAATTCCACCAAATGAATTTGTAATACAAAAAATAAAAATAACTGGTGGAGAACAAACAAATAAAAATTATGCATTTCCATTTGGGGGCTTTTGGGGATTCTTTTAAAAAAATAAACTCCCAATTTTTAA